TCTTGAGGATCCACCAAATCGAAGAAGAAGCGGTGATGAACCTATTTGCATATAAGCACGCGCACAAAGAGATGATCTCTTGGGGAACATTTTCTACACATTGAGCGTGACATGTTCCTACCCGCAAAATTCATCGAATCTACTTTTCTTTCCTGAATCTCTCAGACTCAGATCTTGAGTTTCTCCCAGTCGAATTCCGAGAAGTCTTGCTAAATCTGGATGAAGCATGTCATGATTCTTCCTTCGGTTTCTTCTTCTCACAAACTGTTGAAAATGTGGGCAGTGTACAGCAGCAAGTCATCTGGCCTTAGCTCAGTTGGTAGCAGCGGCAGACTGTAGCGGCACCCACGCTAAGATTGCAAACGTCACAGACATCTGTAGGTCCCCGGTTCAACTCCGGGAGGCCAGAGGAGGGCGTGTAGACTTCATGATGATGCGCTCTCACACAACGCAACCACGTGGGTGTGGGAAATATTTTTCTTCCCACGTTGACCAGCATTCTCTGCATGCTGAACTCGACCCGTTTCCCACTGCAAAATAAACCCGCTTTCCCTTGCCCAACACTCGCTTCCTCTCTCTGTCTCTGTATCTATATGAGAGATAGCTACCCATCAGATGTTCAACCGGCCTTAGCTCAGTTGGTAGTAGCGGCAGACTGTAATGAGGCCTGAATCTAGCAGGATGGCAGACCTCAGCAGGCATCTGTAAGTCCCCGGCTCAAGTCCGGGAGGCCGGAATCTAGCTTCCTTCCTCAAATTCTGAACTAGTGGTGTGTGCCACACCCGAGGGTTGCGATTTAGTCAACAGAATCACCATAGAGTTTTTGCGATTTGGACTTGCTTTCCGCCATTACTAAGGCCAGCACATCTCATCTTGAAAGCGCTTTTTTTGATTTTGAGACGCTTTTCACCCATTTCGACAATGCTTGCGTACCCCCCAGCCACCCTTTCTTCAAGATTCGAACTTCGATCTAGTTCACAACAAGGGCTAGATGTCTATGATTTCTTGAGCCGCGGCGTTTGATTCAGATTACATCACGGATTTTCGCCTCTGAAAAGTCATTTAAATTCTAGCCTCTTCAGGAATAGCCAAAGAACTATAGTTAAGAACCGTGTTTTCGCCACTGCAAACGCCTCTAGATTTCTTCTTCTGTTCCTCTGGAGTAACAAATAACTAAATACAAAATTCTCGGTCGTGCGAAGTGTTCTCTTGACATTGTGCCGTGTCCGTCTGTTGACTCGTATCCTCTCTTCTATGGTACCTACAAACCCCCCTCACGCAATCGACTGGAACAAACTACGCAATGGCTCCAGTAACCGCTTCACATTCCCATCGTACGATCCCTTCCAAAGTAAAAGAAGGAAAGAATAAATATCACATCACATCAACAAATTTGCACGCCTTTCCCTACGTCACCTATCAGATAACACTTTCGCCACTTACCTCAACATTCTTCATGACCTCCTCAACCTTCTTCAACCGCTCCTGCTGTCTCATCAACTCAACCTTCCTCGCAACAGGATCCCGTATCAAGAATGTGTACTTTCCTTCTTTTACGTCTTGGTACCGTTTGAGCATTTTTTGGTAGAGCATGGTTTCTGTCGTTATCTGAAAAACAGATATAAAACACATCATCAGGTCATAGTTGCAAGATTTGTTTGACTGTGGCGTTGAAGTGTAAGCACGCAGTAGAGTCACATACCACACTCTTCTTCTGCATCCTCTCCTCCAAATCCTGCAACAAGCTCCGTTCCCGAACTTCCAGAGACCTGCATGCTTCGTTTGTTTCTTCGATTTGTCTTTCGACGCGTTCTTTGGCGTCACTTAGCGACGTTGCGTCTGTTCATGTTATTGTGAATGTAAAATATATTCAGTACAATAATTGTGAACAAGTGACGATGAAAGAACGACAGTAAGAGTTGGACTCACCATTCTCGCACTCCTTGAGATCAGTCGCAATTTGTCGAATCTTCTTGGACAGTTCCGTAATGGTTTTTTGGAGCGCTGCTTGTCCTCCGCCTCCTTTCCCCTTCATCTTGGTCCTTTTCCCCAAAAAACCAGAAACTCAGAAACGATCAAACACAATCCCAAATCAACAACACCCCCTCTCCCCTCCCCAATTTTTTTATTGACACAAGACTTACCTCGTATTAATCGACTCCCTCCTATAAACACTCTTCTCCATCTCCGCAATCATCCGTTCCTGAACCTTCAACATGGACGCATACCGCAACTTCATCCGATGAATTTCGGCAGACATTTCTCGGATTTCGGTGGCACCCACGTTGGGGTCGAGGGCTGCGGCTGTTTCTTTAGCGAGTTGGATTTTCTTCTCCCAGAGCATCATTTGGCGTCTGCGTGCATGTGGAGCGTGCGGAGCATGGGGAGAGAAAAAGATGGACAAAATTAAATCAATAAGTCATTAAACAAAGCCCCAGCCGCGTGTATTCCCC